ATCCCTGTTTTATAGATGAGAAAACTGAAGCTCAAGAAGATTAGGTAACTTGCTCAAAGTCATGCTATAAAGAAGAGACAAGGGGCCGGCCCCGTGGCTTAGCCGTTAAGTGCGCGCGCTCCGCTGCTGGCGGCCCGGGTTCGGATCCCAGGCGCGCACCGACGCACCGCTTCTCCGGCCATGCTGAGGCCGCGTCCCACGTACAGCAACTAGAAGGATGTGCAGCTATGACATACAACTATCTACTGGGGCTTTGGGGGGGGGGGGGAATAAAAAAAAAAAATCTTAAAAAAAAAAAAAAAAAAGAAGAGACAAAAATGGGATTCTAATGCAGGCCTGATCCCAAAGCCTGTGCTCTTCATGACTGCATGCCCTGCCTTTACAATTTTTTTTTAAATAAAAAGAAAAAGCTAAAACAAAATTATTATTTGAATAGTTTAAAATCCCCACCATCTTAAAACTTTCTAATACAAAATTTCTTGGAAACGTAAAATATTTGCCCACTTACTCTGAAAAAGACATAACCTTCTAGATATCTGAAGAAAAAAAGGTAAGCTCTTATAACATTCATTCCCTAATTCTTTCCTCTTCTATCTGTATTTACTCTTTAGCATCCCATCATTTTTGTAAAATGCTGATTAAAAAACAATAATAACAACAAAAACTACTCACTTTACATTCTAATATATCTGTGAAAGAAGAATGAACAAAGATAAGTACCAAGTGGAATGGTATTGTTTCTACATTCTTCCTCACAAGGTACAAGTTCCTCTTTTCTGAGTGATAGCCTGCCCATCCCTCACAGCTCAGTCCCAGCTTCGTCTACTTTGTGCAGTCTATACCGATTTCTCCTTTCTTCTAATTTAATTTGTATTTACCATGTTTGCTATACATATACTACTTTATGGCATAGTGGCACATACAAGGTTCTGAATAAGTATTTGTTGAATTATTTCTGTCTCTAGCAACAATTGTAATACATAGTTACAGAAACAAAGTAGTATCAGTATAATTTGTGTTCTATCAGTATGCAATGTAGGATTATCAGCACATAATTGGCAGAATGTTATCTGGCTCACTAGTGACACTGAATGTATATGACTTATCTTCTCAAAGAGACAAGGAACATTTCTTAATTAATTTTGTATCCTAGAACCATTTAGCACACAGGCACATCAGATATACTTAAGAAATAGCTGCCAATGAGTTGATTTGCAACTAGATAAACATCATATTTTTAAAACTCCATTGAGTATTTCTGATCAGATTAAATAAAATTTTTCAAGAAAACCCAGCCAGTGTAAAGATTTATTTGGACTAAAGGGTTATTAATGTTTTTTTTTTATGTTTTCCAAATAGAGAACAGACACAAAGATTGTTAAGAGTTAGTAGGTAACATTTGAACATTTTACTGACAAGAATCCTGATAAGAAAATGAGTCCTCAAAAGCTGTATTAGTTGTTTGCTAGTTTTATCACTTTGCACAAAGTGATCATTCTTCTTGCCCTAAGGAAGAAGCATAGTCATATTACAAGATGAATTAACTTCTAAATTTGCTGCTGGATCAAGTCCAGTTGTGGGCTGAATATACGAGTTAACAAAACATTAAGCAACAGGCTGCCACTGTGCCACTTGAGAACTGAAGTTTAAAATATCTGAATATGTGTATTTCACAAATAAACTAAAACAGAATTTTAAAAACTATTTCATCGATAAGTTTAGAACAGAGCTCACTGATAACTGTTTTGAACTTACTCTCCATTTAAATTATGAATGTTATTATCACTGATTTTCACCTATATCATTTTTAAATGTTTACAGGGCTACATAATATACAGAGTGATATGGATTCTTTACCATATATTTTATTATTTATGTTGGTCTCAACGTTTGGTCCTAGGGATATCACAAAAGCTGACAGGGATGAGTATGTCTAAATTGCTTTTTAAAATTAACAGAACAAACACTACATGAGAAGAATCAATTAATGTGTAATATCTACTATAAATAGTATGGAGAACTATTGAGAACTTACAGAAACCACGTAGCTCCTTCCCCTGACTTATGTGAATGGAGTGGCACCTATCCAGATAAGTTAAGAAAAGGCCCTATGATGACCTCTGCTACTCATTTTCCACTCCTGAGTTATTCTAATTATATCATTCATAATTGTCTAATATTAAAGAGCCAGTAAAATAGCTTGAGCTCCGCAATTTTATAGACCTAGATTTGTATCCTCATTCTGTGCTTAATAATGGTATGAATTTGGGCAGAGTAATCTCTCTGGCCCTAATTTTTTTACCCTTTCATTGATAAAATGGAATAATAGTGCCTATCTCCAGAATTACTAAAAAGAATAAACGAGACAAGTTGAAATGGTTATCACCACAATACCTGGCACACAGCAATAATTCCATTAAGATATAGTCAAGTCACTATAAAAGGAAATCAAACATTATGAATTAATTGAGATTACAAAGAAAGATTCCATGCTTATCTAATTACTCAAAAACAGAGATAATACTGGGATTTATTACAATGGAAATATAAAAATATACAGGAAAGAGTTATTAAGTGAACAGAGACCCAACTTAAATCATTTACATATAGATTGTTATTTTAACTCTTGATCTAATCATTACCTTACTAAATATTTTGACAGCTTTGATAAATCACATGCAGGGAAGAGGGAGAGTCCTACGTTATTCCTCATTTTTTATAAGTTTATATTCTTCAATTTCATGATTTGACTAGAAGACCCTGGCCATGGATTTACTATCATTTAATTTGGTTCATAGTTTTGAAAGGTCTTGACACTGAGAGAACCATAAATTATAACCAAACTCAGACACCTTACAGATGAAGTTACCTTACTGACAAAGAACTAGATCTTTATTTTAGGTGATATAATTGTATGAATCTATACGTTAGGTACAACAAGTGATGTGAATCGTCAATGATAGATATTTATACTACATTTTTTTCAAAAGTATTTTTCATGATGTATAAAACTAGACAGTGACACATATGATTTCATAAAGTAATTTTAGATATATTATTTTTTTAAAATACTACATCTTACCATATGACAAGAGTCATGTGATACAAGTGTATTTTTTAATGAAATGCATTCTTTTAATATGAATTATGATTAACTAGAAATAAACAATGCAAATTCCAGTGTTATACAGTACTTAAACTAGGTTTGGAAACTAAAACTACCATTTAAAATACTATAAACAAGATAACCAAAAATAAAATATATATTCATTTATTTACATTCTATTTTGAGAATGCTTTCTTTCACTGTATTTAAGTTTACATTTTCCTTTTCAAAGTGGCCACTATCACATGAGTCAAGGATCGTAAAATGTCAGTCACAAGAATACTACAAAATAGAACTCTGATTATGTTTAAAATTAAGCTTCAATTATTATTTGTAAATATTGTAGTGGGGAGACTTAATCAGAAAATTCTGTTCTATTTCTAAAATAATAATTGTTACTTAAATGAGTTACTTATGAGTTAATAAAAAGGTACCTTAATTATCAGAGAATAAACTTAAGATGTATTATACTGTACTTTAATTTGTAAAACTAACAAAAGTCAAAGATTTTCAACTCCTTCTATCTATATCAATTAAGTAACAATACACTTAGCAAAAAAGAAAGTAAATAAATTGAAATATAGGTATATAGCAAGCATCAGAAGTTATCCATTCTGAATTGCCTAGTATATCAGTTTCTATTATTATTGTTTTTGTAGGTAGTTTCCGCCTCTGAAAAGTTAACTCACATCTAATAGGATCATGATTTAGAGAAGACCACAATTTTTATTCATCATCATATGATGTCAGAAAGTGTACAACTTCAAATTCATGACAGATAAAAATTCCAGGTTTTAACAGCCATATTTAGTTTATTTGAGCGGGTGACCAGATGTAAATGTAATCTGCAATACTATCAAACTCCAGGGCTCATAGATAGCAAGCTAATATTTATTTTTAAGTGCTCTAAAAATTATTTGTGAAAGCTGCATAAAAAGGATTCTATAAATGTATTATGATTTTATTTTAACAATTATTCTACACTACAATGGAAGTACATGCTCAAACAAGACACCTCAGCAGTATTTTAAAGCAGTAACCACCTAGCCAATTTCTGTATGTTCTATAGTTTTTCTAATCCACTCTCCCTGTGGTTGAGCAAAATCGAATTGCCTCTCACATTTGCAGACAGCTCTGTGAAGGTGATAATAGAGCTGCTCCCTGCTGTCATGAGGCAGGAAATAGGAAAATGGCATATGGGGCTAGAAAGAAAGAAATAAAAAAAAAGAAAAAAGAAAGAACGAACGAACCAACGAACAAAAAAAAAAAAAAAAGAACTAAACAAGAACAAAAGATTTCAACAAAAACAACTATAACTCAATAGGCTTTGCAAGTCAATCTCTTTTCAGAATCATTTAGCATATTTAATCATTCATCTGTATCCTCACTCCAAAAATGCGAATGTTTCATACCAAGTCTTTGGGGCAAGTTTTCATTATCTAAAATATTTGGAACATTCAACTCCAAAATATGTCCTGCACAATGCCTACAAAACAGAGCTCTTTAACCAGATTTTTTAAATGTTGTGCCAATCCCAAATTCACCATTTTAAAATAAAGGCAGGGAGAACAATATTTATAAAAATATTAATAAAATGTGTATAGCAGGCTTTTAGTAAGGTTTAACATTCCTAAATCTACGAAATAAAAAAATCTAAAGGTAAACATTTATGATTAGACAATAGCTGTAAAAGTAGAAACAAATCTCTAAATAGTTAAATTGCTAATACCAAGACACACTTATCGACTTGTACAGAGTTGTTTGTTTGTTTAAGTAAACACAGAGGGTTTTTTTGTGTAATAAAAAGTAATGCTTTAAACAAAATAATTTTTACTTAATGTATCTGTAAACAGAATGTGGCAGTAGATGCTAATAAAGACAGAATCTACTCTACCTTTCCTTTCACACTCTGAATGGGATCCACAACCACTGCCACAGCTCTCTCCGACAAAGCTTCAAAGCTCTGCTGAGTGTTGATATCCACACCAGAAAGCCAACAACCAAAGCCAGGGTGACTGTGATACCAACCAACAACCATCTCAGGCCTGAAACAAAGAGGGCATTCAGCCGTTCAGAACAGAACAAGTAATACATTTATGATATGAAAAGAAACAACACACTAACAGGGTATAAATTAAGAAGAGATGAAAAACACACAGGTGTGAAAAAGCACCATTAGAAACACTGAAATCACACGCCATATTATCCAGAAAACATGGAAATGAATAAGTGTGACAAAGGAGTGCTATCATTAAGAGATGCACATTAGCAGTGGTAGATAAGGCTTTCAGTTTTTCACCTTGTTACCACACTTTCTCAGAGGCAGTTTTTACCCTTTCAGCATTCAAGTAAATATCTACTCTTTAACTCTTTAGCTCTGGGAGTTGGATTTTCCAGGCACAGTACATTTTTAACAATGGACACCAGGATCCACTGTTGTGAAAGGATTAAATATCAATTAAACCAGCAGTAGAACCAGGAACTCAGTCAAAAACCAATTTGCACTGTTCTGCTCAGCTGCTGAGCCTTTTGCTAACATTAATTTTGAAGTTTTTTCCACAGTAGAAGAATTTGAGCAAGAGAATGACAACTATTGAGAGATTTAACCTGGGGGAAAAAACTTGAAGAATATTTGGATTCTACTTTCCCTGTCTTTAACACTCATATGCCTATAAATATAATTAAATATTCAGAATCTTATTCAGTTGCAACTATCACATATATGGAACACACAAGCTCTTTCAATTATAAGTGACTAGAGAGTAACTCCATATGCTAAACAGAGGGAAGCTACAGCCCAAGCTTACTCCTATGTGAGAGTTGAGAATTTTAACATGAGGCAGTTTTCTGATTAGCAAATTTCTTTGATTCTAGAGGGAAGAAATACTAGATAGGTGGTGCACAGCACTGATAGAAATGCTTTTACACTAACTGTGTGGCTTTTTTTCTAGGAATGATATTCATAAACTATTCAAATAATATTCAAAACCAAAATTTTGAGATACATTTCTGAAAATATTTCCCATTAACCCTTTATATGATCATTTAAAATACCTTCCTGTCTGCTTCAACATATCCAACATTTTGGCTTGGAACACTGGATCAACTGCCTCCACACTGACACCCTGGTTTAGAAAGAAAGAAAAATGATTAGCTTTTGTAACTATGAAAAAAACCTCTACATTACAATGTAAATGAACAAAAAAGCTACCAAAAAACCCTATGTATATTATTTTGGGATACCAAAATAATTTTATAGGTTTTGATACCCATATTTGATACCCACTCATGTCATTCAATTATAAACCATACATCAATAAACACTTGGCTTCTAAAATTGCCAAGTACCAAACTGCTGTTAGCTAATGAGTTAAGACAATTTTCAGGATCCTTTAAGAGCTTATGGCCATGGTTATACATATACCAGAAATATCAAATAACTCGAGCAACTGTTTTTTGGTTAGACCTATCTAGGCAAGCACACTTCCTAATGCCATCCTCTGATAACTGATAAGCACTATATCTCTTCCATCTCATCTGAAGTTCTACAACTATTAAGCTATTAATATAATCAACAGCCTAAAGTCTTTTTAAGTAACATAAACATTTTGAAGAAGGAAAATAATTTATTAGTTTCCCAGAGTTGTTTTTGTTTGTTTTTTGGATGGGTGGGTTGGGAGGTGAGGAAGTTCAGTGCTTCCGTCAGGACTACTTGGTAGATTAGGTGGTTAGAGGGAAATACATACTTTCGAATATTACCTCAAACAGAAAAGCATTCACAAAAAATTCCCACTAGAGACAATCTGTAACCAAGTCTTTTACGTGTCGCATTACTTTGCTAGTTCAATCAAAAGAAGATTTTAGAACATGGAAGAATTAAAGGCATTCATATCATCTTATTGGTGATAGATAACTGCTATTACAGCTCCCACAAGGCTTTCTTCTAACATCAGGAATTTAAGTCTAATCTACTTAAACAAACCAGTTAACATAAGCACTTCTTTCCCACCAAAACAAACAGTATTTCGAATTCTAATTGAGAATGCATCCTCAAGAACAGGGGTATGCAATCTGCTGCCTACAGGCTAAGAACGGTTTTTTTACATTTTTAAAGGGTTGTTAAAAAAAAAACAACCAAGAATATGAGACAGAGACATATGTCTTTAGAGAAAAAGTTTGCTAACTCTTGGGCCAGAAGAAAAACTTTCTAATTCTACTACATGGAATGAAATGGGGACCAAAGTCTTCTATTTTATATTGTCAAACAAGCATTCACTAGGAAATAATGACATTAAAGCCTAAGAATCCTTTATTATAATGGATATCCACATAAGGACCACATGTAACAGAAATAACAGTTAATTTTAATATGTATTTTATATATTCTGACATGAAAAGATAGATGAAAGTAGTAATAGCCTCAGATTTAAATCTAAATCTTTAGTTAATAGGTAGCATATTTCTCTATGTCCAAACGCATAAAATAAATATCCAGGCGGGCAAAATCAGCAGATCCAAATGAGTTTAGCTCAACAAACTGGTCTATTTAGAGAAAAATTTGCGTATTTTTCTATATTTTGCATTATTTACAAATACACTGCATTCTGCAGCAACTACTCCATTAAAATCACTTATTATATTACATACATATTACATTATTTAAAAATACAATTTGTTTTTTTCTAATATCTACTTTATCAGAGTATACTTACAGTAAAGAGCCTCAAACAGAACAGCTTTGTGACAACAATTTCTTTAATCCAGATATTTTACAAGGCTTGATGAATGTTGTATGTTAGAGAAAAAACATTCATCAGAAAGGTTTACATATTATATTTTTCTAGGCAAACAGATGAGAAGGATGTATGTGTTATTTTTTGGAAGGCAGACAGAATGATTATTGTTTTTTGGCCACCTTCTTTAAATCTAAATGCACACCTATCTATACAAGTCTAATGCATTAAACAAAATAGCAAAACAAAACAAAAAACTTCCAGAAAGAACAATGCATTCTAACCAGGTAGAGTAGATGACTTTCAAAATCTGTATGGAGTATGCTTCTCTAATAAACAAATTACCATGCCTGGGCAAAAAGAACTGAAGTTTGCCATGGTTTTTTTTTTCAACTTGACATTTTGAAAAGAAAAAGCTTAAGAGTCATTTATCACCATATATAGAACATTAAAAAAGGGCCATATTTCAAAACAATGGGAACAAAACATGAGGACTAGATAATATATGTGAATTAAAAATCTAATTAAGAGAGTCTCTGAAATCTTTCAAACCAAGTGTTCAAACTAATCAAACTAAATCCAGTAAATCCAGTATATGTTAGTTAAAGCTGACGATACGAGTAAAGGGATTTAATGTTAGCATCATTCAGTTTGTGGACCTATATGGAATTCATGATGTATTTAAAAGATGAATTATTTAATTCAATACCATGATGCATTTTTCCTATCAGGAAGAGAAAATATAATACGATGAAAGTTATTTTGTATAGGAAAAGAAAAAAGTGACACATTTACTTGCAGCAGGCAACCATAAAAGTACTCACTGTTCCTGACTGTGGCATAGCAAACACATCAATCACTCTGACGGTGTAATCATCAACAAATTCTCCAAGCATCAGACCCATAACTTCCATTGGAACTCCAGCACGACCATGTTTTAACATCTGTAAAGAGGAAGACATGTGGACACAAAGCTTTGAGATCTCTGGTCTTTTTTTCTTTAATTAACAACCTAATTTTGTTTCAGTAGAAATAAAACACTCTTATAGCTGCATCTAAAGCAATAGCTTATGTCTGAGAGGGTTAAGGTGACAAATATTCCAAAGTAAAAGATACAGTGAAAGCAACAGAGCTCTTTAAATTAGCAAGTAACTCCATTCAATACTTACTTTTAACAGTGCCAGGGAAGAGATATAGACTTGTTCCGCTGTGTCCACTGCAGGAGCATCTGTAGGTGGTCCCTAGAAACAAGTATATCAATTGTTATAAACACACAGAGTTTATGAGTTTAAAATTAAAATTACATGTTATATAAACTTGATTGTTTTAAAAGAGTTTTGGGAAAATATGTCAAGTATCCTCTTACTCAGGTACAACACAAATAAATCAAGACAAGTTTGCAAATATCAAACCTGTAGAAAACAGATCAAAGTTAGTACTCAGGCAAGTGTCCAATGGACATAAACTTAAATTTTAGCAATGCTAATCTACCTCTGCTACAAAATAACTACAATGCACAATGAGCCATGTTTCTTACCACAATGTGAATATAAAATGCTGCTGGACTAGCAGGTGGAACTGAAAGATCAACATAAACAGCAAATTCTCTCAGCTTGATTTCCAGCTAAAGATAGCATGCAGATTATGGCTATGTGATCTCTTTAAGGGGAGGAAGGTAAAGCAGAGGGAGGGGGGCAGAAGACTTCTAATCCCTGGGTGAAAGAGCTGTAAACAGCATACTCTGCATTTCACCTGATGAAGTTGTTCCCTCCCCCTATACAACAACAGATTTAACACAATTGCCCCAGGTGTGAACAAACTGGTTGAAACTGGTGTAGCTAACATAAAAATACTTGCAAATCCTGACCCCTACCTTTAAAACAAACATTACTATTAATCTTATTACAGGCTAAGGAAGATACTATGTTTCTCCTAAAGGATTCTATCTTCTTCATCAAAAGCAACAAACCTCTTCTGACTATAATATTCTGCTGCACAAAGTTACATCAGTCCTTACCCTAAAGATGACTACAATCTTATAAACGTAATTCTGCCCCAATCAGTGCACACAGAAAACTTCTTGCTTTTTAATACTGGGAAGTCTGGGAAATTAAAATGAGATGCAATTTATAATTGCCAGGTCCTGTTTTGCTTCAAGTTCCCTTTTCTTGACAATATTCTATTATAAACTACGTAACGAATATGTTAGCTATCCAAATTGTAAGCCAATATTCTATCTCACTTTTATGGGTCTACTTATTAAAATTAAACAATTGCTTTACTCACTACATTTCACACTTAAAGGTCTACGTGTACTTTGTGCTTCTTCTTGTCTATTTATATGCTAAATTCTGTGATTTTGTTTTGTTTTGTTTTAAAAGCTCATAATATTTACTGGAAGCATTAAGCATAAAAGGTTCTAGAAAAATTTTTCTCTAAATATAAGAATCACATACAAAAATTATGTACAAAATGGTGAGAAAAATCAAATCCTTCAAATTTTATTTTTAATAATAAATGCCAGATAAATTTAAAAACCAACTGAATTCTTCATCTAGTACCACCTATTGGAGCTTTACTGCTTGTCTTCCAAATAGATAGGAATCTCTTCAAGAATGAAAATTCTAAGGTAAGCTAAAGTGCTACCATGCCAAAACATTTGTTGAGGTCATCCTATAAAACAATTTTGATATGATAGCTTTATTCATCTAACTAAGAAAGTTAAGAAAGTTTAAGAAAAAAGGTGAGGACAGTAGTAAGTTGTGATAAGAGGTTTGGGGGAAGTAATACTTTAAGGTCAGGATAAAGAACACTGTGTTCATAAAAATTATTTCCTGGATCCAGAGCAACTTAAAAAAATACATATGGAGAAAGAATTTAAATTGGTATCTAGACTATAGCTATTAATACAGCCTCTCAACCTGCCAGAAAATACTTGTTAAGAAAAAAAAGAATAGGGAAGTAAAACATCACACCATCACCAAAATGTATTAATGACAAAGTCCAGAAATGATTTCTTTCTTCACGCAAGAAGAAATACTCTGTTTTGTTCAACATTATATATGACCAGTACCTAGTAAAGTGCCTGGTAGTTGGTAAGAACACGATAAGTATTGGTTGAAAAAAATGAATGAATAAATTGAAGTACTACAAGCCAATGAAACTGCTCTCTTTCAGTTATAACCTGTGAGAGAAAGCAAGGCATATGCAAGTAGATATCAAGATCCTTAGCTCCTCTCTCACTATTTTCTTCTGGTTCAGAAACATACTAACAGAAAACCATGTACTAAGAGAAAACTATGCAGCTGTTTCTCTATTGGGTGAGTGCTGTTTCTTTGAGACACCAGCCAGTGATATTTCCTGTTGGCTCTTTCACTCTATTACTACTCTGTTTCTTGATCTAGTCAGAGACTAAACTTCCCAGAAACAACTTGGCAAGAAGTAGAGAAGGGTTTGCAGTGGTGAACTGCATCCTAAATAAAACAGTAACCCATGTAAAACACTGTCTATGGGACAGATGTTAAGGCCCTCTGGTAGCAGTGAATACCTGAGGTTATCCCTGTTCTACATGCTCACCTGTCCAGAATAGCACACAAGCAGGCAATGAAAGAGAAGAAAGCCCCATTTAAGACCCTAGAAACTGAGCTAAGAGAGATATGTAAGAACCTGTACAGCTGTAGATCAAAGATGACCTGAGTTGAGGAAAATGCGGGGCTATGGACAATTTACACACATTGTCTTTTGACAAACATTCCTGATTCCTGACAACATTCTGATGACTCAAAGAGAGGAAAGTCATCTAAAAATAGGAATCATAAACAAAATTTTAGAAAACTATTTGGCAGCAGAGGACAGAAAGGAGATGTAAGCTAAGAAATACAATTGTTCCTAAGGATAAAATAAGAAATGGAAAGAATGAATAAGTAAAGACAAAGCTGAAGAAAACTTTCTTGAATTAAAAAAAAAAAAAAATCCAACTTTTGGATGACTAAATGTCAGACAATAATCAATGAAGAAAGTATTAAACCTTGAAAACTCCTATGTAACTCTTAATTACGTGGATAACGCAAAATTTCTAAAACCATACAAGTAGGAAAACTAAATAACCTGAAGAAAAAAATGCAACTCAGGTTGACTCTGGATCTCTTTGCGACATTAAATGGCAGGAAACAAAGTTTCAGAGTTTTTAAGACAGAAACCCTGTGAGTCAAAAATTTTATACTGAAATAAAAAAAAGGCTGAAGGCCTACCAATATTACTAAACATACAAGGGCTCAGAAAATACGATTCTATGTATCCTCCTTCAAAGAACTTCTTGAATAAATGATCCAGCTGAGCCCCCACAAATCAAAATTAGAACCTTAAAAATGGAAAAGCCATTATATAAAAAAAACCTGTTAAGACCACTGAAAGCAGTTAAAAATAGAGATAGATCTAAATAATATAAATAACCAGGGTCCAAAACCACAGATACTATCCAAGTAACTATATAGGGTAGTGGAGAGAAATGAAGTATACAAAATTCTCTATTTCACACAGGAGGGTGAAAAAAGATCTGTTTAAGTGTTGACTTTGACTATTATAGAAATATGGATTAAAGAGCCTTTTGAACAACTTTAAAATAACCATGATAAACATTACAACTGAATGTACACCTTACCAAATCACTGGAGAAGAAAAAGCAAACACAACACTGATGATAAAAAAACAGTTGGGAACCAAGAAGGAAGCAAAACAAAAACAGCAAACAACGTAAGCTAAGATCAAACATATTGATAACGAAAAATAAAAATGAATTAAAGTCCCTTGTTAAAAGCCTCTCATAAGGGGTTTAAAATGGAAATTCATGTATACGCTGCTTACAAATAACAGTTAAAACAAAAAGATTGGCAAGATTTGTCAGTCAGTGACATACTTATATTTCTTTCTGTAAAAGAAGCCACAATGGCCACTATGTTTCATTCACCTTGCCTTTCCTATTATATTAATAGATTTCCCAGTATTAAATTACCTTTGTACTTCTACAATAAATTCTTCAAGTTTGATTTACTTTTTTATTTTTATTTAGGGTTCTTGTTTCCCTGTTTATAAGTGAGACTGGTCTGGCATTTTCTTTTTTATGTTAAATTTGTCAGGTTTTGATATCCTTATGCTAGATTTATAAAATAAATTGGAAAGTTTTACAAGTTTTCATTTTCTATGCTCTGGTAATATTTATATATATACTAAATTATCCATATCTTAAAAATTTGGAAGAGTTCATTAGTACAACATTTGGCTCTGAAACTGATTTTAGAGCTAACTGTTATAACTTTTTCAATGCTATTAATAAATTCAGGTTACCTGTGACTTGAGACTAGATGAAATATTATATTGTTACAGAAAGTTTCATTTCATTTAGATTTCAAAGTTATCACCACAGAACTGAACATATTCTATTTTTTCATTTTTAATTGTTTAATACTGAAAACATTTAAAAGTAAATTTTTCTCCATATCACATTATATCACCACTCAGATAGATTGATGATTTACACTTAAAAAAATCAAATCATAACAAAAACTATGCTAAAAATATTGGTGAAGGAAACACTTCCTAATTCATTCTATGAGGCCAGCATTACCCTGATACCCAAGCCAGGCAAAGACACTACTAGAAAAGAAAACTACAGACCAATATCTCTTACGAACATTGGTGCAAAAATCCTCAACAAAATACTAGCAAACATAACTCAGCAGCATATTAAAGGATTATACAAATGGGATTTATCTCTGTAATGCAAGGATGGCTCAACATATGAAAACTGACCAACCAATGTATTAGACCACATCAACAAAATGAAGGGAGGAAAAAAAAAAAGCATGATCATCTCAATTGATGCAGAAAAAGCATCTGACAAAATTCAACACCCTTTCATGACAAAAACACTCAACAAACTAGGAATAGAAGGAAATTATCTCAACATAATGAAAGCCATATATGGAACACCCACAGTGAACATAATACTCCATGGTGAAAGACTGAAGGTGTTCTCTCTAAGATCAGGAACAAGGGCAAGGATGCCTGCATTCATCACTTCTATTCAACATAGTACTGGAAGTTCTAGCCAAAGCAATTAGGCAAGAAAAAGAAATAAAAGGCATCCAAATTGGAAAGGAAGAAGTAAAATTATCTCTGTTTGCAGATGATGATCTTATATGTAGAAAACTCTGAAGATTCCACACACAAAAAGCCTGTTAGA